AAATATATTGTAATGTTCCTCTTTGCTATATAAAAATATTAAAGTATTAAGAATTCAATATGCACCTTACAGATGAAAGCACAATCCATAAAATTTCAAGAAGTATTTTTTAGAGAAAAGATATAGTAGGGCTAAAAGCCACTATAAATAATTTCGAATTAAAAATTATGTTTACCAGAGTTGCGAATTAATTCTACCAAAATTATATTTACCAGAGTTACTAATTACTAATTAATTCTATTAAAATAATGCTCACCTGAGCTATATATTAATTCTACCAAAATTATGCTTACCAAAGCTACGAATTACTTCTACCAAAATTATGTTTTACCAGAGTTACGAATTAATTTCTAATTAAGATAATGCTTACCAGAGTTATATATTAAATCTACCAAAATTATGCTTACCAGAATTACGAATTAATTCTCCAAAATTATATTTACCAGAGTTACGAATTAATTTCTAATTAATTCTATCAAGATAATGCTTCCTCGGGTCCGAAAGATCTTATGGGACATGAGAACTATTGGGTTATTCAAATATTAATATTTTGTTATTTATATTATCATGTTTTTTTGGTTTTCATCTCATTATCTTTTGTAAGATTTAATCTCATTTGTCGTAACATAATAAAATGTTAAAGAAAATAACTGCTTTGAATTTGCTATAAAATGATATCGACAAAATTAATAAAAAAAACTGAAATTTCAATAAGCACCTTGTAGCGATAGATAATCAGAATAAAAAACTTCTTCGCAAGATTTAGTAACAACTACGGTTAACAAGATTTGGTGCTTGTGTTTTAAAAATAATTTACATTGCCAAATAACAAATTCGATAAAGTGTGTTTTTAACTATGTTAGTGGTTACATATACAGAATTAAAAATTTTTATAATTAAACTAATGTTTATTCTAAACGTAAAGTCAGATTTTCCATTTTTTCTCTGATTCTACGAGGGAATTTAATTATTCTTTTTGTAGCTGTTACAACACTTAAATTCTTGCCTTTGTTGTAAATTACATTCTCGAGATTGAAAGTTACAACCTCTGTTTTTTCTTCGGAATTTAGTAATATAACTGAAGCAAAACTTGCTTTTATTTGTTTATCTGATTTTTCGAGAATTTTTTTAAATTTGAAATTTGCAGCTATATTTCCTCTAACCAAAATACTAGAGATAAATCCATTTTTATCTCTGTATATACGAGGGCGGAAAGTTTTATATTTAAGCATTCGGGGGCGGTTTTATCCTTAGGCATTTTTTAAAGGGAGGATTTTGGATTAATTGATAAAATGCACTGATAAGCAGAACATGGTTAACTCTGGGATAAAAAGGGCACTTTATATATTTAATATTGAAAGGGTATCTGATATCTTTATAATAATAATTTACTTTACTTTATTATACTATACAATATATTCGGTATAACTAAGTCATGTGCTTTGCCGCGCCTCATCGGTAAATTGAACACGTAAGAAATTAAACTTTTGCTTTAACATCAATGTTCAAAAGTTTCAAAATTTCGTTGTTGAGAAATGTTATAAATATTTCTGGTAAATATCACAAAAAAATCGCAATTAAATTTATTCCTTCTTCAAGTGTACATATTAACGCATATAAATTTACAAAGTTTATCTAATTCAAAAATCTTAGTGATAAAAGCGTTAATTATTTGGTGAGGGTTACTTCAGTACTTCTGTTTAACATTTTAGATGCAAGACGTACACCATCCCAGTTATAGTATTGCGTGACGACTCTTGTAGTATTATTATTCATAAAGTCTCTCGAAACATTTGTTATTTCTCAGCCTTTTAATTATGAAGAAGTTACTTGAATATTCCGATGATCGACAAGTTTGTCAAGTGTACTTCTATATCGTGTAGTGTCCTCAATATACATATCAAACCAGTCGGGATAAATATAATGCAACGATACAGCTTTTGGTTATTCGCCAGTTTAAAATAATCTGTGGATTATTTATATTATCTGTTCGGTTCGCATCACTAAGGATGCCGAATTTATTATACAAAACTATATTCGAAAAAAAAAGCAACATTGGTAATGGAGTAACTAAAGCTAAATTTGATAGAATTAGAAAAGAATTTCGTAAGGCAAAAAAAAATCTTTATAAGGCAGATCTTTAATAATTTTTTAAGACCGATAATTAACGATCAGAATTCCAAATATTTTTTTAAAAATACAAAGGTTTTTAATTATGATAAAATTATGCTTGACTAGTCAAAAATTAGCCACACTTTATTTTTAAGACGTGTAAATTGCATGAAAAAAATATATTACATATTACAAGGTATCATCTTGTCTAAAATTTGTACAAAAAAGAAGTATTTTTTTTTTTTAAAAAAATAAAATAAAATAAATTAAATATAGAATAGATATCACCTCCGGCGAAATTTCGAGGGACGAAGAATTAGCCTTATTCACGTTCGCGAAATGTGGCGCAGCACCACTTCATGTGACCAATTTTTAATTGTGCAATTCTGATTGGTCACATTAAGTTGTGCTGCGTCACATTTCGTGATTATGTGAAAACTAATTCTTCTTTCTTGGAAACTTTGGCGGATGTGTCACCTATCTTTATTTAATCCGAGTGGGCACAAAAATTTAATATTTATTAATTAATTGTGCCTGGCACTTTGCCTAGCACTTTGCCTGCCACTAGTGTCTGGCCTGGTGCCAATATGCCCGGCATGCCCACTTGCAGACCCCTAGTTGACACCATTTGTCAGTTAATGATGGATCGGTTGGATTCAATTATTTAATCTTTCTAATGTTTTTGATTGATTAAGGAGTAAATTTTCTTTTCTGATTCATTAAATTTTTTTGTTAAAGGAGTAAATTCTTTTCTAGTTCGTTCATTCTCATGACTTTTTTCATTCATATTTTCCATGAGTCGTATATTTATTGGAGAATTGTAAATACTTTCTTAGTTGGGATTTTTTAGATTCATCACCCATTGTGATTCTTTCTTCAGCATTAGAGGTAGGTATTATGAAAATTTAAAAAATAAGATTAAAATTATAATAAAGGTTTTGAGGGTATAAACAGTGAAAATGATATCCATTTTGAGAATTGGATTCTCAGTATGTTTCTCCAAAATTTGAAGTTCTTGTTCAATTAAGAAAATTTAAATATTTTAAGGATCACATTAAACTTTTTCGAATCATCGGGATTAATTGGTAATGAATAAAGTAATTAAGATAGTCTAAATTCAATTCAATTATATCAATGTTGTCGTTGTCACAATTTTCGAAGAATTTAACGCAGTCTTCAGCTAATGATGAATCTAATGTCGTCAATATTCCTAAAAGTCTACCCTTCTCTGCATTTGCCAAAGCTTTTCTCTCCTTTATATTCTTAAAATTCTTTACGAAATATCCTGATATTAACATAGAGAGCTCATTTGTTGATTTCTTTTTTGTTTCAAATGCCTTTGTCTCAAGTAGTTTGTTTTCTTCTAATGATTCAATTTGCTTTACTGAGTCACCTAAATCGAAAACTTCTCGAGCGGATTCAGTTTTGGACAAATAGATAAACAAATCGATAATAGAATATATATAACAAATATATAAAAATATTGTAAGATAGCAAATGATATTAAAGAAATCCATTTTGCAATTTATTAATCAACAATGCGATTTCTGCACAGCCTGGAGGGTGCTTCTGATCAATTTAAATAAATTATTAAAAACCAACTTTTGCATAACTTATTTTTGTTGTGAAAAATCTTTAATAATTGTACGAAAACTTGTTAAATAAAGAGAAGCTTTTTCATTTTTTTCAAGACCGGATGCATTATCATGCAGCATTTTGAGGCTTAGTACGCGTGTTAGAACGTTGTTCTTTGTTATTCTTACATAATAATAGTTATAAAAAAAAAAGAAAATTTTCTACATTTTCTCAAGACCTGATTTTTCATAATGTGCATTATCGCGCAGCACTTTGAGGCATAATACGTACGTGTATTCAAACGCGCTTTGTTCTTTGTGGACAATTAGTTTACCGAATTTATTTTTTCTCAAGACCTGATTTTTCGCAAATGTGCATTATCGCGCAGCACTTTGAGGCTTAGTACGTACGCGTATTCCTATGTTCATTGTGGTACAATGCAATTAAGTGAATTAGACTACGTATAAAAATGTTAACCCAGTTCAAATAATGCAACTTATAATCTAAATTATATATATGGGGTCTTTGCCTTGAAAATCGAGTTACGGAACATAGTAAATCATATGTCCCATACTTGATTTTCAAGGCAAA